AGTCCAGGGAGGTATCCAGTCAGGTCAGCTATTTGCATTGATCAGGCCTATTGCTCTGTTGTAAAAGCTGTCCTTGAGTCTATTTGTTCGGAACCTCAGCAGCCTGAACCTCCTGCCAGACGGCAGCAGCTTAAACACCCGGTGTCTGGGTGTGTACCGTCCCGTAGGATGCTGCGTGCCCTCTTGAGACAGCGAGTGCTGTACAGGTCCTTCAAGGAGGGAAGTCGATGTCCAATGATTTTTTTGGGCCATATTTATGACCCTCTGGAGTGCCTTTCTGTGTGCTGTGGTGCAGGTGGAGAACCACACACCGATGCAATATGTCAGCACACTTTCAATGGAGCAGCGGTAGAAGACGGTCAGCAGCTCCTTCTTCAGGTCCATTCTTCTGAGGATTCTTAGAAAGTGGAGACGCTGCTGGGCCTTCATTAAAACCGCAGAGGTGTTAGAGCGCCATTGGAGGTCTATGTGCACACCCAGAAACTTGAAACTGGAGACCCTTTTAAAGCACTCCCCGTTGATGCTGACAGGCTGCAGCTCAGACTTCCTCCTTCTGAAGTCAACTACCAGTTCTTTTGTCTTGGTGGTATTGAGGTCCAGGTTGTTATCTACACACCAATCTGACAGCCTCTGAACTTCAGCTCTGTACGCCGTCTCATCTCCCCCAGAGAGGAGCCCCACCACGGTGGTATCATCTGCAAACTTGATGACTGCGTTGTCTGGGTGGGTACTAACACAGTCATGTGTGTACAGTAGGGGACTCAGTACACAGCCTTGTGGAGAGCCAGTGTTGAGGCTGAGGGGTGAGGAAAGATGAGGCCCCACTCTAACTCTCTGTGCACGGTTTGAGAGGAAGTCTCTGATCCAGCGGCAGGTGGTAGAAGGAAGTCCGGTTTCCAGCAGTTTAACTATTAGTCTGTCCGGGAGTATCGTATTGAAAGCAGAGCTAAAGTCAACAAAGAGCAGTCTGGCGTAACGGCCCTGCACTTCCAAGTGAGAGATGGTGGTGTGGAGCGTTGTAGCAATGGCATCTTCAGTTGATCTGTTAGCTCTGTATGTGAACTGGAGCGGGTCGAGTGTGGGTGGCAGGCAGGACATGATGTGACGTCGGACCAGTTTCTCGAAGCACTTCATTATAACAGGTGTTAGAGCAACTGGTCGGTAGTCGTTGAGGCTGCTAATGTTAGTACGCTTTGGCAGTGGGACAATTGTGGCTGACTTTAGGCACAGCAGGGATGCAGGACTGGGACAGTGAAGTGTTGAAGATCTTAGTGAAGACCCCAGCCAGCTGATCTGCACACTCTTTTAGGACCCTTGCGGTTACCCCATCTGGTTCGGCGGCCTTCCTGGGGTTCACTGCCCTCAGTGTGCGCCTCACCTCATATTCCTGCACTATTCCCTGCATACACTCCTAACGGGAGTGTATGCAGGGATCAGCAGCATGGACATGTGGTCTGACAAACCTAGATGTGGTAGAGCTCTGTAGCCTTTTTGGATGTTGCTGTAGGCTTTATCTAGTGTGTTTTCCCCCTCGCTGCACATTTAATATGCTGTTCAAATCTGGGGAATACTGACCTTAAATCAGCATGGTTGAAGTCCCCAGCTATAATGTGCACTGCGTTTGGATGGGAGTTCTGCTGATTACTTGCGCAGTTCCTCCATGGCCGAGTTAGCATTAGCATCGGGTGGTACATACACGGCCGTTACCATGACAACAGTAAACTCCCGAGGTATGTAGACGAGTCTGCACTTCACAGTCAACCTCGAGCTCTTATTATGTCCTCCGGAATCCTGTGAAAATGGTGGTAGTCCGACGTAATGTTCCTTGCACAGCGTAATACCAAACTCAGAAGGTCCTGACGACTGTAAGTGGACTCTACTCGATGTATAATAATAAAAAACACACACGTCCACGCGTAGAAAAAGTAAAACACAAAACACCGAACGTGAGAAGCAATGAGCCGCTGCGTCTGTGCGCGCCGCCATATTCATGAATTTAACTACCTACATGTATCTAAATTCCTCCTAAACTGAAATACCGAGGAGAAATTCATAGTAACTTGAAAAAATGGTAAAATGATCAGTAAATTCTTTCCCCATGTGTAAGTCTTATCAGGTCTGGATTGTTATTAGCAGTGTTGGTCAAGTTACTTGAAAAAAAAAGTAATCAGTAACTAATTACTTCCCCAAAGGGTAATCCCATTACTTTACAGATTACTTAATTTCGAAAGTAATTAATTACTTAGTTACTTTTTAAAAACACGATTTACAACCTGAATAGGTGATAAAGCGATAGATCTTTCAGCCCAATTCTACTTTTTCTGAATAATCCATCATACAAAATGTAATCAAATGGAAGTCTCTTTTTAAAACTTGTTTTATCAGTTTTAATCTTTTAACTTTATGCATCAAGCAAAAATTTAATTATATGCTCTATTTTTACCTGTAAAGCAGGAGAGGGGTAGGCGGAGGTTTGCTACGTTTGTTACAAGTAACGCATTACTGCCAATCTCTGGTTATTAGTAAGGAACTGACATGAGCGGAGACAATAGGGGAGATGAGAGCTTTAATTTTAACAGGAAGCTCACAAGCAGTGTGACCTGTACATGTGTGAAAGAATACAGCATAGAAGGGTGATACATTTTTACGATGGTTAACCCTTTATTGACCATGGGGCCCACCGGCGGGCCCATTTTACAGGTAAATTTGAAGAACCGGTCAATAAAGGGTTAATGATTTAAGGTTTTTATACGATTGTGAAACATAGTAACATATGTCCAGAGATAGCTGGCTCTTGGTGTCAATAAACACAGCAGAGTACAGTAGAGTCTCAAAGAAAACAATGAGCGCTGGATACTTTTGAACATTTATTAAACGGTTCTCATATTTGAAAACTGAACATGTGCTCCTTCAGTTCCAAACACTTTATTCACAGATGATGTTCATTAACATGTTTGTATCACAGACGGCTATTTACATACATAGTAGACAGTTTGCATTTCACTGTATTTAGTTAAAACCCTTCATTTTTGTGATTCTTATAATAGAAAAAAATTAACAAAAATGACACGGTTTTCTTAAAAATGTATAAAACAGGTAAAGTGACAAAAAAGTTTCATTATAAAATAAATCATATTATTAAATCATGCTTTAAATCATCTTCGTTGTTCAGATAAACAGTGCTGATCTGATTTATTTTTTCATTAGTACATTTGCTGTTGCTGATATAAAACAACAAAAAGGTTCACAGTCACAACTTTAAATGGAGGCAGATTCAGTGCCTTCCAAATCACAGTCAAGTTCACACAAAGTCAAGCCGCACGGAAGATTTTCAGGCCTTCACTCTTCACAAGACGCAAACTCTCACTGAAGCCCTGTGTGCAGGTCCATTACGTGGAGCTCAGATCATGCAAACTTTACGGTCTTGCACACTTCAGTCTACGATTAAACAACATGTAAGAGGTACAAATCCTGCTGTTAATCACTTAGTGTCTGCTCTGCAGAGGCATGCAGCTGAAAACCCTCAAGAGTGTGGACTTCAAACGTGAATGCTGTGAAACGGGTCTAAAAGGAAAGAGGAGAAATTTTATTTATTGAGATCTCTAGGTAAGATACAGACTACAACTTCTCTCAAAAAAAAAAAAAAAAAAAACCCCCCAGAGGAACTGGACCGCAGTTCTGAAGCTTATACTTACAGTGAGTGCTTGATGAGTAGCGACTTTGGGTCTTTTAAATCCTCCATTGAATGGTTCTCATTCTGATTTCGCTCCGTGGAAATCTGGTCCCAGATTTCTGTGTTGACCCACAGAGCCCCTGGCAAAGTCAAGCTGGCTCTGGTGCAGGTAATCCAACGACAGAGAGGGCAGGAGACGGTGTACATGGCACCCTCCAGCTTGGACATTCTCTCCAGACAAGGGGCGCAGAAGGTGTGGTTGCAGTGGAGGACCCGCGGTATCCTGTTGCTGCGTGAATACTCGTAGCAGCACACGCAGCACTCGAGCTCCTCGGCGGTGACCATGCTCGTATCAGATATGCAGAATAAGCAATGCGTGGAAGGCTGCTTTTTCTGCGATACAGAAAAAACACAAAATAGGTGAGTGGAGGGGAAAAATAGACACAATATAAAAGATTCACAAATGTAAAACTGAAACGTGAAGAAATTCAGCTTTTCTTTAACAGGTGCTCAGTAACAAAATCATCTAAGAATCATTTGAAATACTTACTTGCTTGTTTGCTGCTGAGCGTTGCGTCTCTGAGTGCCCGTTTGACTGGTTGAACGCTTTTAAAGCCCTCCCTGATCACGAGGCCGTGTCATTTCCAAGGAAGTCTTGCCCTCAGGTAAATAATATTCTGTGGAACTTCACTCTATGGAAAGGGTGTGCGGGCATGCAAGTCCACGTATCTTTCATAGTTGTTTTATTAACCATTTGTTGACTATTAAAACTTTACGAGGACCTAAATTTGACTTCTTCTTTTAAAGAGAAAATAAACTTGAGTTTTGTTGAACTGTTAAGCTGTTTTTATCTGTGCAGCAGATAAAAACAGTTGTCAGATGTTGTCAGAGAATGGACTTCCACCTATGTATTATTTTTAGTCTAAACCCTCAAAAAACTTTACATGGAAGTCACGTTTTTCACTCTACAAACTTTGAGGTCTTCATAAGAATTTACTTCCAATTAAAAAAAAAAAAAAGAAAACCTGACATGCATGCGTTTGTTTATGCTGGCAGAAAAACCGAACC